GCACCCCCGGCAGGTAAGGGAGCTGCCCCCGCCCTGCGCTGCACCCCACGGCCATGCCTCAGCGCTCACCGCCCCACACCCCCTTCCAGCGGGACGTGCCCGAGGAAGCCGAGCAGAGGGAGCGATGCCTGCCAGCGTCACTCGGCTGGGCCTGTGCCCACCGCCCTCAGTGTTTCTCCCGAAAGTAAGGCCCGTGTCCCCCACCAGCGTGTCGCGTCCTGGTGCCCTCTGCCCTTGCTGTCTGCCTTGCAGCCCTGCCCTGCTGTCCTGCCGTGCTGTCCCTGTGCCCTCCTGTGTGCACTGCCCTCTTCCTTCGTGCCCTGTTTAACCGTGCACTTTTCCCAGGGAGTTTGCCTTTGTGTGCTCCCCCCAGCCGGTGCTGTGGAGCCTGCAGGGAGGTGCAGTGAGGAGAAAAAAGAGACTTTTCAGTTCCGAGCTGCTGCTGCTCTTCATCCCCTCGCTGCTGCTCAGCCATGTGCTGACCCTAGGACTGGGGTGAGTTTCTGATGGCCAGACCTGTGCTGTCGGGTGGCCTTGGTCCTGGGTGCAGGCAGGGTGAGCCCCGCGCTGCTGCGTGTCTGCACAGTCTGGGGCTCTCTGGGGGCCTCCGGCTGGGGCTGGCCCCATGGGAAGCACTCCCGGAGCTGGACGGCTCATCCATGGGTGCTGTTCTACACTGCTGCTCTCGGCAGCCACAGCCATCTCCCTAGCTGCTGCCCTCTCCCCTCGCTACTGAGGCCCAGCAGGCCGTCCCCGTGTGAGTGCCTTACAGTCGCTCTCTCCAATCCAGGATCTACATTGGGAAGAGGCTGGCAGCCTCCTCGGCAAACCCGCTGTGAAGGGCTGGGCTGGGTGAGAGACGAGTGGCTCCGCTGCCCCGCTCCTCTGCTAGGTGTGTGCAAGGAGCCCAGGCACCAGTGCAGCCCAGCTGCTCCCAGACCCCGTGTTTGTGGCACAAGGAGCTGTCTCCCCTTGTCCCTTCTCTAGCCCCAGCCTAGGGAGCGGATCTACCCTCCCACGTAGACGGGAACCCCCTGATGGCAGCTCCCTGCTGCAGGCAGCCCCTGCCCTCCCCATCCCTCGGTTATGGGTCCAGGTTCCTCTTTAACACAAGACTGTAAATACAGCTCTGAGTCTGCAAGACCACATGCGAATAAAGAGCCGTGTGCCAGTGTGGGAAGGCAGAGCAGCGTGCCAGAGTCATCGCGCCAGACCAGGCACAGCCCAGCCGGGGCAAAGCCAGCGTGCTCCGCAGCAGCACTGGGGTCCCGTGGGCTCTCTCTGCTGCAGGGCTCCAGGCTGTGGGAGGGTGAGGCCCCACTCTCTGTGGTGCTGGGGCACAGTGGCCATGGTGGTACCTGGCCCTGGAAGAGGGCCCCTGCTTGGGCCGTGCGTGGGCAGGGGCAAGGGCTGGGGTGCAGACAGGGTTTTCAGCCCCACCGCAATGTTCCTGGCTGCTGTTCTTTATTAATCGGCTGTGGCCGTGGCCTGCTGCAGCAGGGGGGCAGGGGCTGGAGCCCAGCACAGCTGGCTGGGGCAGCAGCACAAGCCTGGCATAGGCAGGGCTGCCAAGCCATATACCGGCAGGGGAGCCGGGGCCCCCAAAAGGGGGGAGGCCGGGCGTGGACCTGGCTGGCTCCGTGCAGTTGCAGTGCCTGGGCCAGGAGCATTTGTCCTGGTGCTGCAGGATGGGTGGGCGGCCGAGGGACGGGAGCTGCCCTGGGTGGAGAGCAGGAAGGGGGGAATAGCTCGGCTGTGCCAGCCAGGAGCTTGTTGCCCCGCACATGGTGTGGTCCGTGGGCAGCGCAGGGTGGAGGGAGGGAAGTCCTTCTCCACGCGGTGTGGTGGCATCGCTGGTGGGTGGGGGCTCAGCACAGCCCTGCGTGGGAGAGATGTCCCAGCCCAGGCTGGCGTGGAGCTGCGTCGCCTTCGCAGGACGGCAGGCCTGGCCGAGGGCTGATGCAGAGTGCTGGGGTGGGGAGGCGTCCAGCAGGCAGGGGGGTCCCAGCCCTGGGGGGCACCTGGAGGGTGGCAGCACCCATTGCTGCAGGACACAGGGCGGCTGTGCCCTCTGTACCGGGACGCAGGGGCAGTCCCGTGGCTGTGCAGGATGCTTCTGTCCCAGCCCTGGGGGGCACCTGGAGGGTGGCAGCACCCATTGCTGCAGGACACAGGGCGGCTGTGCCCTCTGTACCGGGACGCAGGGGCAGTCCCGTGGCTGTGCAGGATGCTTCTGGTGTCAATACGGGGAGGTGGGTGAGGAGGGGTGATCTGGCAGGCGAGGCTCAAGCAGGGACGCT